CCAGCCCCAACAGGCATCGGCAAGACAGTAACCAATCCATGGGCCCTTGAAAAAGGGGAGCTATCTTGGTAGTCTGCGCGTGCTGTGATCTATAGGCGGATAAACATGTGGGAGGGAGAAGAAGGTGTCCCAGGGCGCGCGCAAGACAGGGCAGATCTGACTGAAATTGAGGGAGGCAGCGACGGGTGCGATATCATCCAGCTGCTGAGCATATCACTCCAGGAACGAGCTGATACATGACCTCTTGTGTCAAATGCGCAAAGTGGCACTTATATTGCATCATCCATGCGGAGTAGCTCAAACGGGGTATCTTGGAAATCTTAAAAATCTTGAAAATCTTGGAAAAATCTTGAATAACCTCCTGCCAGTCCAGAGTATATATGGGGAATATCTTCAAACTCCGAAAAGAAAAAGAGAAAAAAAAGAAGAAGAAAAAAAAAAAAGAAGAAGAAACGTAGATAATAAAGACGAGAAACCCCAAAGGTAGAACCCGACTCACCATTCAACATATCCAGGTACTTGACATTATTATCACCATCGCCAACGGTGCTCGGAGAGTCCTTATTATGCGCTTCGGTTCCCTCCACGCGTTCAAATTTCACGGGCAGGTCAACAGATAGATCCCCAACAGCATCAAAATCCAGGAACTCCGCATTCGTAAACAGAGCCAATTCAGCATCCACATTGAATAGATCCTGCCGCTCCGCTTGCTGTTGTGCCAGATCATATGGCGAAGGAATGGTATTCAGATCGTTCAAGTAATGCGAGAAAGTCGGGGCTCGACGCCCGCTGTTGTAGCCAGACATGGCCAAGAACTTCCCCCTCCCGCGGCGGACACCAAAATAAAAAAAAAAAATCAAAATACGACAACTCTTTGATCCCTCCTTAACAAATTCACGATATTAAAACCCAGCCACTGATTTGCTATGAACGCTGAGTCCAATGGTAGATGTATGACCCACAGTAGTTCGAGATGTGCAATGAATACAACAGCAGCAGAGTTCACCACCCTCGTTGGTCCGCACAAAAGGCGGGCAGAGTACAACAAAACCAAAAGCACTCGAGAGGTAGTACACGCAACCCCTGGCGGTGTGAGCGATGAATGGAAGTCGAAACGATCTCGAGGGGGTTTCGAGATATATCTCTAATATTCGCGGGTGTTGGAAAAGTGAAAGAATCGCATTATTAGAATAATAAAGAGGGAGAAACGGTGGTGGGATGGGGTGACAGGCGAGGAAGTTTCACATGACGAAAATCGCGCGGGGAGCAGAAGTCTATTTCCGGTCTGGTCCAGTCTCTGGCTCTCTGGGGCTGGCTCCGGCGTAAGTTTCAGACAAAGTTTTTGGTGGGGTTGAAAGTTGTGAGAGTTCCAACTGTTGTTTTAAACACCCCCCCCCGTTCTGTTACTTTGATTTTATTACCCCTAATACGAATATTTATTTTACTGGGGAAGACTAACCTCAGGAGCTAATGGGCTGACTGGGGGGATGTGCTGTATGTGCGATTAATAAATAATCGAGATTTTTGTTCTGGGTTTCTTCTTTAAACCATCACTTTTGTTGTTGGCTGTAGTTAGTTGTGACAGTTCGATTCCTGTTCTCCGTCTTGTTTTCGCCACCTGAGCACTGAGCACTGAGCACTTGGCTTGCAGTTTACAGCCTTGAGAAAATATGAACATGTCATGTCGAAATGGAGGTGTGGGGCAAATGTTCCGGCCACCCCCCTTCCTGCGCTAGTAAGTTTGGCTGTAAAAGGTTGTATCAGTTGTATCTCACGACCAGAGTTTATCTGTCTGCATCGGATCTTGATGCTTGCAGATATTCTCTTCCTGCTTTGAAATTATTATCTCCTGCATCTTCTATCCGTCATATTCTTTTCCTTGTTGAGGTTCATGTTCAAGCTCATACTCCTCTCACTAAGGGCGGTATATATAAGAAAGTCAAGAAAATCACAGACATTTCTAGATACACGCAGAAAGGCTTAAGTAAAAAATTAAAAAGCAAAATTATAACTTTAATATTGACTATAGTATTCAAATGAAGCATGTCAAAAATGATTCATAGAACAATTAATTTAAAGAAAAATTCGCAGAGAAAGAGTAATTCATTATATAATTTATTATTAAAATTTAATAAAAAACAAGAAATTTCCTGAGATTTTAATTTATAAAACTGATATTATCTAGAACTTTTATAGTTAAATTTTTAAAAAAATATGAATTTATGAATATAAAGTATTTATAAAATTAAAATTAATTAATTATATTAAGAAGTACTAGTTTAAATTTACTTTTAAATATAATTAATATGATTTAAAATAAATAAAAAAGTAATATAAAATAATAAAATATTCATTACTTTTAATCAAAAATATAAGCTATGTAAATTTCATATCAGATTTTAAAAGTCAAAAACTTCATTTATATATAAAAATAATAAAAAATGCATTTATTTAAAAATACTTTTTATATAATATATATATATATATATTTACTAAATAGAAACTAGTTAAAATATTATTATGAATAAATAATAAATAAGATTATGAAATATAAAAGAGTTTAATAATACACTAAAGTTAATAATAAGCTTATTTATAATTAAAAATTTAATTAAAATACATAGTTAATATAAGATTAATAAATTTTCTTTTATATAAACTCTTAACAAATTGATTTAATAATAATATTAATAATAATATGTTTTTATATCTATACATAATTAGTAACTATAAACAAGTTTATAATACAAAGTTAAAGTATATATATATATATATATATATATATAAGTTAATTATAAAGAAATAAATAATTAACTATATAGTTAATTATTAAAAATATACTAATATAATAAAATTTATATTTAAAACTTTATAAATACATTAAAAAATATTCACTTTTAAAACTTAAAAAGTATAATTTTAACTTAGAAAAATAATAACTTATAATTATTTAAAATAATTTTACTATTAATTTATTTAATATAATTTATTTTAATTATTTTTATTTTTATAATTATTAATTTATAATATATTTTATTTTATTATATAAAAATTTTAATTATAAAAATTATTATTTAAATATTAATTTATTATAATTATTAAAATAAATTATTAATATAAATTAATATAAAATTTATAAAAATATTTTATATTTTAATTTTAATTATATTTACTAAAAATATTAAATTATTTATTATATATTATTATATTTTTCATATTTTATATAATTATTAAATATAAATATTATTTATAATTTTAAAATATATATAAAAAAATTTAATTATCATTATTATTATTATTGATTATTATTATAAATATATATAATTAAAAATTATAATATTTATTTAATTAAATTAAAATTTAATTTTTTAAAAAAATAATCAAAAAATTAATATTTATATAATATTATTTTTTATAATTAAAATTATATTAATTAAAATAATTTTTTTACTTTAATATATATAAATTTTATATTTATATTTTTTAACTTTTATTTTTTTTATTTTTACTTTTAATAAATTTATTTTTTTATTATAAAAAAATATTAGAGCTATATATTTATTAATATATTTTTTATATATATAAATTAACTTTAATCAATTATTAAAAACTTATT